CGTTGTGAGGATTTCGGCATTTGCTCTTACGAAGGAATTCGCAAATAACTGAATTTAAAGGAATGTGAAAACACATTTAAGTTTAAAAATCTTTCGAAGGAGTAGTAACGTCCTTCTTCTTCACAATGGGAGCCAAGTCAAAAACCGGCGTTTGTCTCGACTTCCAAACAATGTCGTTTGGAGCTAGGCCAAGGATGTTGCTTGTTGCCACTAAAAATAACTCAAATAAACGGGTTCTTGCATTCGAAATGTAATGCTTAGTGGCTCGGTACTGCATTTTTTGTTTCCTGATTTATTGGTTTTGAAACAGCGAATTAAATGACTGTCGAAGAGTTGCCTTCGAGGAATCTTTTAATTTTGAATGTGAAGTTACGATTGAAGATTTGCATGCTTATGGGACTGCAACTTTAAATAGATATCATAAAAGAGGAAAAAAAATTAGAATGGTTTTAGTGAATCCAGTTAGTAAAATTTATCGAGTCTAGCTGGTAACTAATAATAATAAAGATGAAGAATTACGTTTATTGTTTTTAACAGCTGTGTTTATTAGACAGTAAAAAACAGATTTATTTTGAGAGAAAAATTAATTAGTTGACGCTTTTGGCGCATGGAAGATAAAAATATGTTATTTTGGGAAGTGCCAACACTTTTCTTTTAAATCGCGGAGTCAGTTGATCAACTTGGAAAGACAAATATCTTGCGCTTTGCCCAGTGGCAGCACATATCTTTTAAATAGCTGAGTTTTCTTATCGAACTTGAAGCATAAATATCTTTCGTTCCGTTCAGTAGTACCATAGTTCTTTTAAATATTTGAGTTTGTGATTAAATTTGAAACATAAATGTGTTGCGCTTTGCCAGGTAGAAACCTATTTCTTTTAAATAGTTGAGTTTCTGATTAAATTTGAAACATAAAGATGTTGCACTTTGCCGAGTGGCAACATATTTCTTTTAGATCGCTGATGCTTCCGATGAATGAGGCTCCGTCCTTTTAACATGTCTTTGTAGTATAACGGGAAGCGCACTCGATGCGTGTTTGGGAGGTCCTTAGTTCAAATCCCGGTGAGGACACTGAACATCTTTTACGTTCCTGCATTGATATAACCTAATACCTCTACATATCTTTCTTTTGCGGTGTGGTAGAACATTTCTTCTAATTAGCTGGGTTTTGGATCTACTTCGAAACATAAATATATCTAGCTTTACCGAGCGGCAACACGAATCTTTTAAATCGCTGACTATTTAGAATTCAATTTGAAAGATAAATAGCTTACGCTATGCTGAGTGGCAGTACAGTTTTTAAATAGCCAACTTAAAAGAAATCATTAAGTTTACATAAGTTATTAAGTTAATAAATAAATGCTAATACTTTTTTTTTTTTTTTTTTTTTTGTTATTATTGCAGTTTCCAAGAAATGAACTATTACCGACCCACAAACGTCACATTTTATGTTTTCACTTTTTTGATCTAATTAAAGTTGATGACTAAGATTATAAGGTATTTCTTCCGCCTTCTTAGCATGCCTTCGTGGTATAGAGGTCATCACGCTCGGCGCGTATTCGAGAGGTCCGAGACTCGAGCCCCGGCGAGAGCATTGCTTATTTCTCATGCCTCCTGCTTCCAAAAATCTTAACATCTCTACAGTGGCGAATGATGATTCTTCACCACTAGTATTTGGGGATTGGGTTCCTTAAAAACCCCAGTCGCCCTTTAAAAGGGAAGGGTCTATAAGGTATTTCTCCCCCCTTCTTAGCATGCCTTCGTGGTGTAGTGGTCAGCATGCTCGGCGCGTATTTGAGAGGTCCGTGGCTGCTAGTCCCGGCAAGGGCATTGCTCATTTCTCATCTCTCATGTTTCGAAATAACCTAATGTCTCTACAAGATGTCTTGTTCAAAGTTCATTTGTCTTATATTTACACTTTTAATTGCCCTTATTTTAACTTGTGTTAAAATTATTTATCGGAACCACAGTATCACATCTGCTTTAAAGCAAAAGCATGAAGAATATTATTTTTACCTTATTTTCTAATTTTTGCAGCTCAATGCGCAAAATTCTTGACGACAAAGGTCTTTTTTAGTTTCTTGTCCTTTCTTTTATTATACATATATATATATATATATCATATAATTTAAATAATTTGTCTTTGAACAATTCAAGTAGGTGTACGATGTTCAAATCGATTAATTATTTATTGATTAATCTAAGGACATTTTTACGTCTTTTATTTTTCAGTGGGCTTATTTCCATGTGAGCATATATCTATGTGAGCTTTTTTCCGTGTGAGCATATTTCTAAGTGAGCATTTCCATGTGAGCTTTTTTCTATGTGGGCATATTTCTGTGTGGGCTTTTTTCCTGTGGGTCATTTTTCCGGTCACCATTGAATTCACAACGCCATTTCGGAGTAAGAATGGATTAGATTTTAGTTATTTTGCTTTTCCTTCTATACATTTTCCTTTTCTTTCTGGAGAAACTGATGGAGTTTCATTGGGTCTCCTCAGAATTCGAGAAACGCTCAATTTTCCAGCACTAACCACGGAAAAAATATTTGTTAAAGGTCATGGTTTTGGGATTGTTAAGTGCGATAATCTTTTATCTCTTTCTAGGAGTTATATCCATTTTTAGTACATTAAAATTAATGAATACAAAACGTACTTACAAAGTATGCAAAAGTAATTTTCTGTTGGTACAGAAACAAGCTTAAAAATGGTGTAATAATCGTAACTTGTTTAAACCAGTTCTAAGCAGTCAAAAGCAGACATTCAGAAGACATTACGGCAGAGGAAACTACTTTGAAGAAGCTGCTGTTGCCAGATGTCCGTCAATTTAAAACTTTTTGAAAACATCGCTTTGTTCCAGTTTATTTGCACATTATAAGTATGCGTGTTTCTTGATATATATCTTGGAAATTAAGCGAATACACTAAGAAAACGAATTCAAGTACTGGATAAAGTTTGGTATTATAATCAAGAAAATGTTTTTTTCTCATTTAAAGGTTTGGGGAAAGGGCTTCGGAGAGAAATCCTTGGTCGGCTGAAAGGATAAAGAATTCAGAAGAGTAAGTAATAAATCAAATTCTGAAAAGTAAGTAAGCCACATAATCTGAGTAATGCCAGTTCTTAGAGGGAATATGGTATGTCAGTAACTAAATCCCTGAATTCCTAATTCCAAAATCCTAAATTACAGTCGTTCCATCATTTGACGCGTACAGACTTGATAGTCAAGTAAAGAACCTGTATTTCGAAAGCTTTGAATGTTTAAGGGTAACAGCTGCTCAGAATGACCACTTTCTATGTCTTCACCCGTGACGCCACAAGTCAATCTGTATACACCAGTTTGGTTCTGAACTTGCACAGTCAACAAGAAGAGTGGTATCTGTGCAAATTATTTACAGACAGCTATATATTTGTAAGCTTCTTATAACATAATCAGTGGTTTTGAATCAGCGGCATCCTCGGGCACAGCATGTCAGTTTAATTGATCTGGAGATTACCTCGTTTGGATTCCAGGAATTTTGTGTTTTCATCAATGAGTTCTGCTTTTGTCTACAGATTGATCCTTGGCATTATTGGTCTCATAAAAACCATTATCACGCCAATCAGAGTTATGACATATACATATACAGAGGAGAAAGTTTGGTAGGAGGATTGTTGACGGCGGGTAAACTGTCTCCATATCTTTCTTTGCGGGTACTGTGACTTAAGGGAAACACCAATTGGAATTAACCGGTTCTCAGACTAAAATATGTCCTACCAACGGCACGTGATACTCATCCAGACCTACGCTGACAAGAACACGCCCATAATGAGCATCGCCAGCCAGGACAGAGTAATCACTACTGAACATAGCTTTGTGAGGGGGATGTTAAAATTTACCAATTCTGCTCAATCCCGCCATGATGGAAGGCCACCAGAAGCCTGGCGGCAAGCACGTGGGTCCAGGGAACGTTGCCATCTCTTCCCCAAGCCGAAGCGGACCCACGGGGGGACTTAAGGGTAACAAAATGTCACATATGTTCAATATGTTCGATCATTTCTTGAGTCCGTAAGTCTTGATGCAATTTCATAAATGAAAACATCCGAATTCACAAGACTGCCATTACTTAGAATAGAATGTATTACTTCTCATGGAGCATCGAGATCTTCAATTCGTTCAAACACGCATGGAGTTAGTACCGTAGATCTTCCATTCCTCTTTTTGACTCTTCCTGAAAAATTTACAATATCAGATTACCTGTTTCTTGAATGAGGACAAATATTTCAACGGCCATAGATAAACGTTTTCTTGGTATGAAGTGACGCTGTGGACATTGTTTGCAGCAGAAGTCATCACACTCCATCACGAGAGACTGCCTTCAGAAGCACTTTATTGTTGTAAAATCCTACGATTTTGATACCACTATTATCATATTTATCATTTTCCTTGAATTTTCTCACATCAGAATCATGTTATACTCCCAAATAAGAAACTCTGATATAATAATACTTATTTCTAATTTCCTTGCCGCCCAAAAGGAATAGTGGTTAGGGACTCTGACTACTGTACCGAAGGGCTTGGGTTTGAATCCCCGAGAAGACATGGATGTTTGTAAATTTATAGTGTCTGTGCAGCATGTCGCACTCTAAATATGTGGCAAGCCGAAAATCCTTTCGAGAGAGCTGGTGTAGGGGAAGAGGGATGGGAGGCCTCCAACCCGTTCCCCTGGAGTGCCCTCCTTCAAAATTGAGGGCGGAACTGAACAAAGTCATACAGTCACCTGTGTGGTGAACAAGGTTCTTCCCAACGATAGTCGCAATCTTGACTACTTGCCTCGATGAAGTTCGTGGGCTTGCTCTGATATCAGACAAGCGAGGTTAGTAACAACAACCTCGCTTGTCTGATATCTTGTCAACAAATTTCCTTTTTAGTACTGATTTTTTTTATCTTAAGTAAGTCTTCTGCTGTTTTTTAATGTTATAGATGTTTTTAAATACATCTATAAAATATATGTGCATTATGTTGCAGAGCCGGTTATCTCCAGTGGTGAAGGAAAGCATTCTGGGTAAGGACTATGAGACCCTCAGTCATGAGCTGTACGACACAATGGAAAGAGAAAGTGACTTGCGAGAGCAGTTGAAGTTCAGCGAGGAAGAGGCAAAACAGGCCAGGAGAAAGATCATAGCACTGGAGCAAGAGAACGAAACGCTCATGATGCAAATCAAAAAACTGACGAGCATCGTTAGCAGCAAGAAAGGCAGCAAAGGTGAGGTAGTGACAGCTATAATACTAATAGTCACATAATGTTCATACATGTTTAAGGGAATATTTACATTAATTATCCCATAATCTTTCGATTTAAACATTTCTATCACTTTTAGTTAGCACTCACTAGGATGCAAATGAGATACGTGTGCATGAGAAGAACGTTCTTGAACGTTAGAGAGAGAGGGAGAGATGTTGTGTAGAGAATTTGTCTGATAGCGTTATAAAAACTAGGTGAATGATTTTCTGATTTATGGAAATTTTAATTTTATTTGATTCTGAATTATTTACTTTAATGCTTTAATTTTGGGGAAAAACCAGATGCTTCTGGGAATATTATTTAGTTTAAAAGAATATTATTTTATTTTTCCTTTTTTCAAATTTTGTACAAGCTTTGATTCATTGTGAAAAGAAGCAGGGAAAGGGAGGCAATTTTTGCTAAGTCATGATTTTCGCGCGCTTTGTCCTTTAGAATGTTCTAGAAGGAATTTCTGTCGCCAATAGTGACCTTGTGTAGTTGACCTTAAAGACAGGAAGTACGTGACAGAAAAGGTCAGAGGATGTTACTTAACCTTTCGATGGAAGTCATTCAGGTTTTGGCGATCGGAAGGTCCGGTTGTTGGCTAAGGTGAAGGAAGGAGCGCGCATGCGCGATCACCCTTATTTCCACATTCAGGGGTTGAAAACGCAAATTTTGCCAAAATTAAGGGGGCGATAATTGAAGCCATATTGGGAGCCCGCGTTTGTGAAGGAGACGAAGGAAATTTCGAGGTTTGGAATCACTTTTACGTGCGAGACTTGCTTGCTGAACTTACTTTGGACGTTACTCTTGAAGCTTGCTCTTGGGATGAGCAAGAACAGGCGAGCCGTAATTGCCTAGAAAAACGTTTCTGGCCGGGAGCTGCAAACATGCTTCCTTGCCGCGTTCTGGAAAAAAGGCGAAATTGAACCGGGCGAGTGACTTAAGACTTTCAAGACCAGGCGGATAGCCGTGCTGGGCAGCAGTGCTCCTGTTTCTGTTTTCCAGAGTTAAAATAGCTTCGTCGCTATGAAAACCAGTTACCTGCGTGTGTGTTTCGCCAATAGTGCCAGGACAGGACGATGTCTTCTGAAACTTCCATTTGTGACCGTAAAGATGAGCCCCGCCGACGTCAACGCTTATTAGGATACGAGTCCTCCACTTCAAGACGTACTGACCAGATAAATCTATTTTTTTTTTTGTGTTTGAACTTTAAGTAAGGTTTGAACGATTTCCTTGGAATGTAAAATAACAACGTCGAATCTTAATTTAATTCACAGGCTTTCAATTGTTTCCCTTTCCCCTTCTAAATTACCAAGACAAACCTTAAGGTTTTTATATGAATTTAAATGTAAAAAAAAAGTAAGTAAATGACAAATTGAAGAATTCCACTTAGACTCTCTGATGAGGATAAGATTTTATTTTATTGGTTGATGAATTCGAATAAACTGATATTTAGTCTGGAAACCTATTTACAGTATGTTTTTCTTTATATACTTAATATGTTTTTCCTATATATCTTCGTATATGTTTTTCTTATGTTTACGATCTTTCTCACGGCGCGGTCCCGGGATGCAATTTTTACAACGCAAATGCATTAAAAAATTCACTATACGATCACTAAAAAGTTTGGTAATTAGCAAATTCTTAAGAGTTTAGTTTCCTCCCTAAGAGGAAGTAGAAACCTCTCACGGCAAGTAGTTTCTTATTTAACAATGGTGCCGTGAAGTTTCTTATATAACAGAGAGCTTTACTATTCCCTCGCCGAGATCTTACAAGTAAACTTTCTCCCCTTTGATACCGGTTTTCCGGAAACCCATACATTTTCTGAAAGCTTAAATCACAAGTAAAAAGAGTGTGATGTCTTAGGGGCAGAGGGACAAGCGTTTAGGAGCTATAGAACCCCCAAAGTATCGTTGAAATGTGCATAGATGGACATATTTCCGTAATGGCGTCTCTATTTCTTGTATGTTCATGCATTGCCTGCTTCCGAAGTACCTGAGGGTAAAGTCCTACAAATTTCTACGAATTTTTATGAATGAAAGATTTACGGGAAAGATCCAGCCTCTAGATATTCATATTCATTTTTTCAAACGCTACAAATCTTCCGTTCGTTACATAACGGGCACAATCATTATCGAGACACAGGAGCCCATTTGGCATCGCGATAATTTTATGGCCATGCAGTCCTTTTCACTATATCAATTCAGCCCTCCTCGTTTTAAAAACTTGATTAAGTATGCCTTTTATAAGGGCAGATACTTGGACGACGAACCTGGAATGTGGATTGCACCAATGGGTTACTGTTTGCATTCATTCATAAAATGATGAGCGTGCACAGTACGAGGCTGTCGCTTTGGTAAAATGGGGCTGTTCTGAACTGTCTTTCTGCCTGTCTCGCTGTTTATTGGATGAATTGCTCATCGATTGTCTCTTGTAATAGATTTTGTTTGAAGTCAATAACAAGTCACATTTTCAATATCCCAACGTATAATGTTTCTTTTCAACGAGTTGTATCTTCCTTTATATTGAGATCTCCACCTTTCTTACTATATTATTAGTTCATATAAACACGTGAAACGAGCATTTTAGCGACTTTTGGTGTCATGTTTCCATCACTTTTCTGTTATTTTGTGGGCACGATAACTCCTAAACGCTTGCCTCTCTGCCCCTAAGATTTCACAGTTTTCTATTTGTGTCATAAGCTTTCAGAAAATATATGGTTTTTCGGGAAACCAGTATCAAAGGAGAGAAGGTTTTATTTAATTTATCTGTAATTAGCTTTTGGGTAGACGAGTTACTTACTCAATAATTTAGAACAGAGCCAACGTTCATTAGGCTTATGTGTTGGGAATCTTCAGAATTAATATGCTTTGAGATTTTTATTCACGCTTTATATTATATGAGATCTATAGAGCTACGCGTATTTAAATTTTAAGATCAAGGCTTGCATTTGTCAAATTAAAGGTTTTAAATAAAAAATTTTCTAAGCTGCATACAATGTTAGTGCTTTGCCTCATTTTTGGTGGATGTTTCTGTTTTCTCGTCTGTCTTAAAACAAGTTGTAGAACTGTACACGATTTAATTGTCAAATATGTATAGTTAAAGAAGTAATTCGAAATAATAGGATACTTATTATGCAGTTATATTTAACTTGATTTCTAATTTTTGACTTTCTCCTGATGAACCGATTGTTTTGAAAGGTTTCACACAAATGTAATCCACACAAGAAGGTTTTTTACTTCCTTGTGCGAAGTAAAGGAAACACTGTAATCGCGAAAAATTTCAGTTATCACATATCAACAGAAATATGCATTTTGACAGTTTCCCAATTCATTTGAACGACTTTTTTTTGCTTGTCATCTGTACGTACGACAGAATGAAGCCCTTTCTTTTCCAAAAGAATTGTAAAATTGATTTAAAATGAATTCAGAAAAGATTTTTGGGGGCACATCTGTATGTACATATTTACGTACATATATGCGTATCTCGCATAACTCAAAAACGATCAGCCATGAAATATTTAATTTTGTGTATGGGGCTGCTGTAAATTTAGTTGTGCACCTCCCCTTTTTGTTGCAATCGGCAGTACCAAAAATATATACCCTAGAACCTACTGTAAGGGTCAACTCTGAATAAGGTATAAAGGTATGATTTTGTTGTACAGGGTCCGTTTGAATAGGAACTTTGATATATTACCTCTTATTGAGAGAGATTCTATTTAAGAGACACTGAAAACTGCTTCAAAAATAAGATAGAGTAGAGAAATAAATAAATATAAAATTTTTTTTGTTAGTAATCTTTTAAGGTTTCAAAGGCAGGTATGTACTCAGAGAGAGATAGTATCGTGAAGAGGGAACAATAAAATAAAAAGTTAAGGCCTCTCTTTCGTAAACAGCTTTTCAGTAGAGAAAGGGGAACGATACATTGGCGGAAAGCAATCTGTCGTGCAATCAAAAGGATGTAGCACATTCACAGAATTCAAAATCCAGTTATACTTATGTTCGGAAACACTAAATTATCCTAATTAACATTTCTCATTAATAACAACTTGCTGCAATTCTAATTAGTTTGTTTCCATTTTCGAGCCCTCCACCACAGCTGAAAGGTAAGAATCGCCTCCTTTGCCGTTCACTTAAAACCAAGCAGTGAAGGACGCAATCAGAGAGTGACCACTGCGAAGGGTTACTTAATACGACGGCAGTACATTTAGCTGAAGAATTTTTAGATAAATCAAAGAATTTATGTGGTACTGTAAAAGTAAATAGAAAATTTCTACTGGCAGAAGCAAAACTAAAACAAAAACGAGGTGACAATGTGAATTTTGATATCCGAAAAGAGTTAAATTTTTTAAATGGACAGACAAACTGTCAGTTTGCAAGTTAACTACTTGACACAATCATACTTGTACTTGGATTGAAGGAATAAGTGGTAAACTAAAACCTGATGATATTTTTGACTACAATAATGCGAAAAAAGGCGTTGATATATCCGATCAAGTTACATCATATTACAATTCCTTACGCAAAACCGTTAAGTGGTACAGAAAACGTATCACGGAATTGTTATCATGACCGAATTAAAAATCGTACGCATGCATGTACGGATATATGGCATATACGCACATACATACTACATATACGCGTGCAAACATATATATACATTTCTGAATCTAGTTCTAATAACAGAAGAGTGCCGTTTTTTCTTTTATAGAAGCCATTCCGCCATACGCTGAGTGGTAAGATCGCTGACCTGGTACTTCGACTCATGTTCAAATCAGGGTAAAAGGTTTAACTGCATTTGGAGGTTTTGCAATTTTCAACATATATAATGTCAATACGAGATATTATTGTTTGAAAATCCTACAATAAGGAATCTTTTCCCTTAAATAGGCCTCATGCAGCTAGCCTAGATCATTTCGTTAGAAACTATCTTTGTTCACAACAATTGTGAAGCCATCTTTTGCGTGGGGAAAAAATATAACTATAGGTTAGATTACCTCAATATGACAAAGCCACGAGGGATATCTGCCTAAGAAGAAGAATGACTTCATGGAGGACGTTCTGAGGCTCGTAATCATGTTACGCACGGAATAAACCACGAAAAGAAACCATGCAAGTAACCCGTCTGCTTGAGATCGAACGCAAACCGGGTCGAACTACCAGATCTCAGTGGTCTTCTATTCGGACACTGGTGGGCTCCTATAATAATAGCACAACGTAATGGTAAAATTTAACATATTTATCTTGTGCGATTATTTAGTATGAAATGTTTACAACCGGACAAAACTTTATGCTCACCCTGTATTTCTAATTGATATAAAAGGTTAAAAACTTTTATTTTAATAAGCAAATATTCTACGCATAGTGCAATTGCGAGTGTGAAACGGAACACGAAAAAGACTGTAAAATATATTTATGTTTAACAGTTTTATTTAATTAAAAAATTTTACAGCTATTTATGTAAAATACTGCGGGACCTTGGATTAGCACCTGTTGTCAGAAACTTCATTTGTTAATTGAACAGTTAACAGACTTAAATGACTAACAATGATTTGAATATAGTAACACCGCAAAAATTCTTTTACATAAACGTTAATGTTTTTTCATAGACGAAGATGCTGAAGAAGAGGAAATATCAGCGGAAAATCTTAAAATTCAGCTGGATCTGATGGAGCAAGAAATGGCGGTGCTTCGAAGGAAGCTGGACGACACTGAAAAAGAGAACGAAAACCTGCAATCTGAGGTGAAATATCTGCAAGAGAAGGTTATAAATCAACCATTGATTGAGGTAAGACTGGCACTGTTAAGATGTTAAGTTAGGCAAAATTCTGTCTGGCGTTTTGGTGATAATTTCGAACAAAATGTGCATTTAGAGGAAATATGATAAAGGAATCTTTTCTGTAAAGCGCAAAAATATTTCTCTTTTGTCCTTAATTTTTTCCAAATACATAACATTCTATATTCGTTTATTTTCTGTTTAAGAAGGTGAAATTAACGAGAAAGCACAAAATACTTTTGCTATTTGAAAAAAGATCATCATTTTCATCATATCCATTATGAATATTTATAGAGTCATTCCAGATCAGTAAACAGGAAAAATGAACAATGTCGTCGCTGGGATTCGAATTCCTGACCTCCGGATTACTAGGCGAACGTGCTTTCTAATTACACTAAGAAGGCACGTGTTAAGGGAGCAGAGAATTCTTTAACAATTGGAAAACTTCTTTTAAGATTGAGATACTTTTCAAAGTAAGGATACAAGCGATTAAACTTTTAATGAACTAGTTTCAACAGAATAAATACTGAAGCGCTTACAGGCCATTCAAAAGAGGCGATCGAAGGAGTTTTAACCAGATGATAAAGAAGGTGTATATGGGGCTTTAATAAGGAAGGAATTAAAGGAATAATAAGAAAAAGCATATTCGCTAACTTTAGTGTAATATGTCTTATCGTGTTTTACCCTAATATATCTCGTCGTATATCATCTATATCATCGTGTTTTACCCTAATATATCTCATACCCCAACATATATCATCGAGTATAATATATTTCATCATATTTTACTCTAATATATCTCATTTTGTATAATATAGCTCATCGTGTGCAATATAGCTCATCATATATAATATATTTGACGGTGTTTTACCCTAATACATCTCATCATGATGTAACTTAAGATATCGTATGTAATATTATATCACCGTGTAATATTATATCTCCGATATATCCGATGGTTATATAATATATCTTATCATGTATGGTATACTTCACTGTGTAATACCCTAATAAATCTCGTCGTGTGTATCTCTTTGTGTTTTATTCTAATATATCTCATCATATATAATATATTTCATCATGTTTTACGCTAGTGTTATTATGTATACTATATATCATTATTCATAATATATCTCATTGTCTTTTCCCTTAATATACCTTGTGGTATGTAATGTATCTCATCACGTAGAATATATTTCATCGCGTTCTTTTTTGTATGAATTATGATGCTATCCACGTAATATGAAGCAAAATGCGCTATAATACGCCAATGTACACTGCGAAAAAAAAATAAAAAAAAAAAAAGAAAGTTTTACATCCACCTTTCTACTGTGCCCATTGACGAAATTTGTCTCGAAAGCGCGACTTAGGATATATATTAGATTTATATATAACAATGCTCTAATATAGGCATTTTGACACAAACTCGAACTTTTTTGAAATGACATGCCAATTTTTTCTCATATTTCAATCCTACGTCTCAAATTATACCTAAATTTTAAATTTGGTAAAATTTTGTGCTAAATTTAAGGAGAAATTCAAAAGTTTATTTTGGGGCATTTTCGTTTGAGTTTGCGTCAAGAATAATTCACTTGGCGAACTTAATATATGGCAACCTACTTTCATTTCCCTTTTTACATTGTGCATGAGCGGGATAAAGTCACTTCGTTCCTACTTTCAAATAATTTTAACAAAGTGAGTAAACCGAATTTTCGTTATTATCTGTTATAATAAATACGCCAAATTTCAAAACGCGCCAAAATGTAAATTCACGTATATCTTCGGAAGTTTTGAACAAAAATCTCTAGTTTGTTGCAGGTATGCTTAGAAATACATCTGCTTTAAAATAAAGGTAAAAAGTTTATAGATTATAATTCAAAATGTTTTTCGAAGAATTTATAAAAATTATTTAAAAACACAAATGTGAAAAATGAATCATTAAAAAAGGGGCGAAAATTATTTGGAATGAACCCAAATTTCTAAATGTGAAAGAAAGAATCAAATAAGTTAATAAAAAAAAAGAGATATTAGTAAATATATATAAATTCAATAACATTGACGAGCTAAAATTTGAGATAATTTTTTAAAACGACTCGTACGATTGTACAAAATTGGCGTTTGGCATAATTTGAGTCGTAGAATTGAAATATGGAAAATTATTCGCAGGTCATTTCAGAAAAAACCCAATTTTGTGTCAAAATATTTATGTTAGAACAATGTTATGTATAAATCTATTACATATCCTAAGTCGCGCTTTCGAGACATAAAAAAACGCAAGCTGAGTTTCGTCAATCGGCCCACTAGAACGGGAGATATAAAACTGTCCCCCCTTTTTTTCGGGGGGGGCGCAGTGTACCTGCCATGTCATTTATTGAATTGCCACAAATATTACAAAATTAAGGATTTAAGAAGAGTGTTGTTTATAGAGTATTAAACCGAGCATTTGAAAAGGCTGGTCAATTGGAGGCGTCATGATTTGAATCTGTACCTGCCATGTCATTTATTGAATTGCCACAAATATTACAAAATTAAGAATTTAAGAAGAGTGTTGTTTATAGAGTATTAAACCGAGCATTTGAAAAGTCTGGTCAATTGGAGGCGTCATGATTTGAATCTTCGTCAAAGGAAAAACGTTTTGCAGCTTTTTTTTTCTATTTTTTCCAAATAACGAGGCCAGTGAACTATACTGAATGCAAGTAACAAATGCAGATAATGTTGCGATTACGGAGGATTCCAACATAAAACTGTTACATTTATTGCTATTTCTGAGATACGTCCAAGGGAATATTTAGTTACCTTTCATAGGATCTACACAAAAAATATTTCGTTAGAAAATTAAGGAACAAATCATAGTGGGAAACGTGATTTGATATTTATATAATAAATAAGATATTAAAATGGTTCCATTTAATATTACAAATCATGGTATCAGATTTTACTTGATCTAGAACTTATAAACCGGCAAGAACGTGAAGCGAATTGGCGCTAGACCTGAAGTATGGTCAAGTTATGATAACGCGTGCTAACAAGATCAGCCTTAACTCGTGATGAGGCAATTAAAGAGAATTGGTCAAATTTAAGTCAAACTTGTAACAGTAGTCATTGCGCTAGCGCACATGAAGGTACAGACTTCCTGACCTAGGTTTTAAAATAGCCCTTAACATGGAGTGACGCCTCAACCTCTAGAGGCGATCCATAGGAACGCAGGTCCCAGTGTTCAACCCCGGGAGACAATGATTTAAGTTCAGATGCACAAGTACACTAGAAGGTGCAGACTTCCTGACCTAGGTTTTAAAATACCTCTGAACATGGAATGAAACATCAACCTTTAGGGGTGATCCACAGGGCCGCAGCCCCAGTGGGCAACTCCGGCGACAATGATTCAAGTTCAGGTTTGTGCAAGCAAGGCAGGCACCTGAAAGGCGCCAACTGGCCACAGACAACGTCAGTCTTCCTTGGGTCGACCAACGGAGGCGAACACCAGTGGACAACCTTTACAATATCGAATATGTAGCGAGCCTGAACGCACCACCGAGAATAGTGACTCTAATCCTATGCAGAAAATTTATGTACCCCAGAAGCCGAATCTGGCAAAATTCAGGTCTTAGCCAGAAGGCCTGGGGTTGCCTCCCAAGGGGGTAAACATTAATCAAAGGCTAAATAATTTAAACCTTACCATAAGCTGGCTCAATGGTTCTAACGAAGCTTCAAAATTAATATGTGGGCAGCGATATAACGCAAAGCCGAATAATTACAGCTATCAGCGCTGGCAGGAATAAAAGGTAGAGTGTGCGCGCAGCCAAGAAACACACTCTGCCTTAAAATCCAAAAATCTCAATTTGAATACTAGCAAACTCATTTGCATTCTGCTGAGAAAAATTTAAAGTAAAAGTTTTAGTAAAGATATAAATCATAAAAACCTAGTTAACTTTAATATACCGTAAATCGGTAGTACTGAATCATTATGAAATATTTAGGGAAATTATTTATTGTTGGAACTGTTCTTTTATATTTTAGACAATTCACCGATTTTCATAACTAAATAAAATTTGTGGAATTAAACTCTTGGAAATCATGAGAATATTTTTTATTTAAATTTAGAATTTTTTTCCGGAAATTTTACTTTCACCGTTCATACTATTATATATATATATATAATATATATTCAAATTTCGGAGGTGTTTAAGTTTTATTTGAACATATTTCTCCTTTCTTTCCCGTGATCTGCCAGCTGCGAGACTGAAGTACGGGATGTTCCATGTTATTTACATTTGGTGTTGACTAAGCTGAATATAAGTGTTAAGCGAAATCTTTTTTTTTCTTCCCGGCGGTAGTTTCCTTTTTCTTAAAAAATATATTTCCTCTTCTGAAAAACATAACGCTTATAAGATATCTATCTTGGGTGGTCTGGAATGTCATAAACTTTTATTTTGGGTACTTCCTGTCTCGTCTTATTTTTCCGAAGTTAGTTGCTGATTTTGTAAATGTTAAGTGGCTGGAATTCGCTGTTAAATAAAGTTCTTGTCAACCCAAACGCTAACTTAGTTTATATAGCGGTTGTTTGTCCACATTTTAGATGAATTTCATTGTACTATTTACAGAAATATTTTAACTAAAAGTTTTGTGTTTTAAATGTTCTGTTTCATAATGTATAAACCTTATTTTTCACTATCTCTCTATACCGTAATTTTCAAGACAATAAAACGTTTTGCATTATCGAAAGAGGTATTTTATCCCATTCCTCCTGAATAGCTTTCCGAAGTCAAAGAAGGGTAGCTGATCCAGGTTTAGATAATCCGCCTTTTTAAAAGTCCCAGAAGCGCAAAAAATCATGGATGATACATCAGAGGATTTAGTAGGGATATGAATGAAGGGTATGGCCTTGATACCCATTGATTGTTCCATTTTTTTAGAGGCGCACCAGCGGCCGATCGATAAAAGTCGCTAAACACTGGTTAGTTCGGTCCGAGGTTCGAATCCCACGAACAGGCTTGCTGGAAAGTTTTAAGTTAATAAAAAGTACAAATACTGCAAAAATGTATTTTTTCTTCTCTTTTTCTTCAGGCGTTCTGCTCCATTCTTGCTCCTTTTTCTTTAGGCATTCTGCAAGTATATTAAAAAACATCCAACTTTTTGAAACATCTTGGTATTTCTGATAATCATTTTAAATAAAGTTATCGCCTTCCATTTCATAAAGGCCCACAAACGGCCGAGCGGTAAAGTCGCTGAACACTGGTAGTTCACTCCGGGGTTCGAATCCCGGTAAACGGGCTGGTTGCATGGTTGTTTTCGTGATTTTCACCATGTGTAACGTGTATACTAGCCAGTTTTTCTTAGAAAGTCCTCCACGAAGGCATCCCTTCCCTTAGGCTGATAGCCTTCAAGGCTTTACCTTAATTAAATAACCTAACCTAACCTAACCATTTTTTCCAGGAAATTCACAGCGGCTTTTAACGTCTGGCTCCTTTTTTGTCTTGATGCAGTTTTACTGATTGATGTCACTGTGGATATAAAGAATTTATTTCATATTTGAAAATTGGGTGTAAATATGTTACTGATATTATATGGAGTTGATCTTAACACTTTTCTCTAGTCTTTTTATATTTAATTTGCCGGAAATTCTCGTATTTCGCCCAATACGAGAAACCAGCAAAAAAACATAAATCCCTTTCAAAAACTTTCTTTAGATCATTGATCCATGTTTTAAGAAATTTTCTCTCCTTTCATGATAATAAATGGATGTCTTTTTATTGCAGTCATTATTTAAATGCAACCAAAATCCACCTATCGTGATAACATTTTATCAGTTTTGTGTGGATAAATGTTTCTCAGAAAGAATTCTGCATTCGGTGATATGTCGTGGTGAAAGACGATGCGCATTATGTTGTTTCTCCTTTTTAAGTTTCAAATCAGCATTAATCGGTTCTTTTAAAGTGATGCTGACTCCCATACCGAAAGGCCCGACTTCGAATTACGGAGACGACACGGATGTTTGCAATGTATAGTGTCTGTGCGGCAAGGGGGCAGTTTAAATATGCGACGAACCAACGTCCTCTGGAGAGTTTGGTGGTAGAAGAAGAAGGATGGAAGACCCTCGGACCCGTCCCCCCCGCGGGGTTCTCTCTATAAAAATTCCGGAAAAAAACCTTATCATTAAACTAATTTAATGTCTTTTCCTTAATTATATAATTTAATTAATTTAAACTGACATAGAAAAAAAATTAACCAAGAAATTCACTAACAATGCTTTCCTAAAATCGAGTGGAAAATGTACGTACGACAGCCGTTCGAAATTCTACTGTTTTAGTATTTATTTTGTAATGTGCAATTTGAAATTCAGGAATGCATCATGTAGTGCTTTACTTCCTTAGCTACCAGAACTTCCGAAGGATGCCGGAAGTCCGAACGCTTATTGGGAGCACAAAGTCCGGCTACAAGAATACGAGATACGTGAAACTAGAAAGAAATTGATAGAGAAAGACAGAGAAATTGAAAGGCTCAATACGGAGGTGGAGATCTACAGAAAGAAGGCGTCTAAAATGATGGTCAGGAGTAGGTCCCTGGACAGCGACATCCAGGTAGATCTGAAGAGGCAACTGCAATTGGTTGAGCAAGAAGCCAACATACTCAGGCAGAAGGTATGTCTACTTTCTTTTTGGCTTTTATTATGGCTAAAGAAAATTATAAAATTCTGAACAAAGTGCTATTATCAATTGCGGGAATTCCAGCATGGTTAAAGAAACTCGAACCGTGATGTACTACTGCTTGTTTAAAGTAATCAAGATACTTTCATCTCTCATGAAGCTTATACAAAACCTTTTAACTTTCATAGGTGAACAGTCTGGAGACGGAAAACGAGAAGCTTAATATAGAAAACAAGCGCATGACTTTGAGGCTTAGCAAGAAACCACCACCTTCTTCCGTAGACATTCTGCAAATGGACAACATGGAATTGAAGCAGAAGTTGGAAGAACAGCAAAGGAAAATGGAAGCTATGAAAGAAGAACTGGAGAAAGCTACGGCTGAAAATCCTGTTGCCATTATTCAGGTAACAAATTGCTTTCTCTAAAAATGGTATTTATTTCATGGTGCACTTTCTTCTACCTATCTTTTTAATGCGGATGTTGTAGGAGTTTGATTATGTAACATCCTTTGCTGTTCTTGTCATACGATGTCTTAACAAATCTACATTTATTTATCAAAGGAAACGCTTACGTTTCTCTCTTTCTTGAAATATTAATTTTTTGATATTATAGCAAATCGTAATAAGCAATAAACCTCGCAACCTTATCTCACTCGCGCTTATCAGTCAGTTGCTGTTCGCCTTTAAGGTCCTCTTGAAATTTAGTCCTCTTGATACTGAAGATGTTTGGATTAATATGACCAATACAGATAGTTCTGTGGAATCTGATTACAATGTGCCACTAATTTTCTTTCCAGAGTTATCGAGATGGAGGAGATAGTTGCATGCATATTAAGACTTACTGTCATTTAGCATTAAATCTTTAATCAGTCTCTTTTTGAGAATTACAGCCAAAAATATAAAGATAACAATCTACTCGACGAAGTTATAATTCACATTTGAAAGATAACCCTACGAGGAACCACAATTCACCACTTTTCATATCGGAAATATGCATAATCCCCTTCCCATAATTCTGCATGACTTCGGACCTTCCGGTTGCAGACTTCAGACTTGCTTTCCAGTTACATGACGAAAGCAGATGGTAAGAAGGGGGAAAATAACATAGAGGTAAAATAACGATATTAACTAAAAAAACTACTAAGGATTAATGTTCATCATTCTTTTCAGGACCTTTTCTTGTTTTCCTAACAATTTATTAGAAGGAAGAGAAAATCACAAATTAACTGCGGAAGATGAGTTTGTTATATCTTTTCTGTTTGACCAAAATACGATTGCCTAGACCCAAACTCTCGCTATTAAATTTAGAACTTCCGTTGAGTAAATTAGTTTGATTAATCCGTATTATATTAATTTTCCAATTCATACTTTCTCAACCACTTCTAGGACTATAAACCAAGGAGGGAAAGTCTAACATCCTTGATCTCGGACAGCGAGAATGATCTCATTGCGACCCTGAAGAAACGCTTGAAGAGCAAAGAGGATGAACATCAAGCCATTCAGAACAAAGCCATGCAACTGGAGATCGAAAACAGCCGTCTCAACAGAGAATATAGGAAATTGAAGGATAGCCTTTCTTCCAAGAAAAAGCCCGCCAAAGCCATCAGGGACTCAGCTACCAGGCAAGAACTCAGAGAACTTGTCAGCGAGCTGCAGGATGAAATAAGTAAGTAGACACAGTTTTAACAACTTCAAAAAATTTCATGGTCTGTTGCAAAAAGTTCGGATTTTCATACAAATATGCATTTAGTTCAAATGTATACAATGCTAGGAAGGTCTTGGACATAAAGCGTGAAGTGAATTTTAGAAGATGCGCAACCATGCTGATACAAGCTCATCGAATAGTTTGTACAAGCACTCTTTAAGTTTTAAATATGTAACTGTTGTTGTAGAGATGACAGAGGCGAAGGTGCAAACGATTGTTGAAAAAATTAGTGTTACATTGCCGGGAGCCTTAATCTTCGAACTTCCGGCTATTACAACTTTACCACAACAACTGAAAATAAGAATATCTTAAAATTACTTACGTTGTTATTGCAATAATTTCCCTTGTTAATATTAATTTTAAATCTGATTTGATTGTGATTAATGGGAATTCATCAGGGGTGAATGCATCATTTGGGAATTCAGGAAATTTCCCGGTGGCCGTTAAAACCAACATGTCACCCTATATCGATGGTTTGAAAATCGTTCGCAATTGCCATTAAAAGTAATAAACTCATTAAAAGTAAAAGATGTTATGACCCGAATAATAAATAAATAATTTTTACAGATAAACTAAAGTTGAACATATTAAACTCATCCTCTTACCTCCGTATTCGTCAGCTTGCCAGAAATTCATAACTGATGGATTTAATTCTTTACTCTATACCCTAAAAAAGTGGTGAAATTTGATATTCCGTTTCGTACTTTGATCACTTAGATCTTCACGCGGGCATCTTGTTGAATGTTGCATTTTACATTATTCATGTTACAAACTGTTGTTGGTGTGAATAATCTCGCTTCTCTGATATCAGAACATGTCCATGAAATTCATCGCGGCAATGAGTACAAGATTACGCCTGTCGTTGGCAAAAGCATTGCCTTCTCTAAAGGGTATCCTAGCTATCATGACGCAAGTCAGCACAGGACGTTTGATCAAAGAAGTGGAAGATTCATGTAACAACCGAAAGTCTGGCCAAGGCTGGGTGAGTCAAACGATCACGTCGTGTATATAGAGTAGATACTGCAACAAAATACTAACAAAACGATTTACTAACCTATCTCGATTATATTGTGACTCTAGTGACCCTAATTTGTTTTGTAAACTATTAAATGAAGGCTTCTGCGACAAGATGACCACTTGTCCAGGGCATATGCTGATGTATTCTGGGGGTCCAAGGTCAAGAAAGCAGAAAAGGGCACTGCAGGCCGTGGCCCACTACGGCTGTTGCGCTACTGAGTTTGGTTTATTAAATGAAGGATTTTAAATGAAGTACTTAAGTCCAAAAACAGCAAAAAAGATTTAGAATGGCGGCCTGACTGCCAAAACGATTACCAGTGCAACGACCGAGGTGATATCCCAAGTCCGTCGTGCCTTCCTTGTGAATGTCGGAACTGTGGAAATTTATTAAAAAATTTCAATATGATTATAAACTTTAAGAGTTCGTGTATTTGAGGCTCAATGAGTAAAATCGTCATACTATATAATAAGGGTAAACATTTTTAGACACCTTATATTAGACCAAGAGCTTTAAAGTACTTTGGTCATCCTTCGTCTTCATTAATTTAAGGTCATCCTTCGACATATTATTGACATATTATTATTTTATACTTGATAGCTATGCTCAAATTTCAGCATGTCCAAATGGAAGCACTCATCTTTCTTTTTGTGGCATATTTAAACATCGCACTCATAAAGCAGTACTCTTCAGTGGGGACTCTCCGCGTTGGCGATGCTTGTAATGGGGTCTGGGTGAGTGTTTCATGCCGGTGGTAGGATGTACTTTAGTCTTGGAATCGGTTCATTTCAATTGTTGTTGGTGTTTATCGAATGCACCGGTATGTTCTGTGAAATTGTAACACAAATACCCTTCAACACTGAAGGACATTCTACAACACCTTTTTACAACAACTTTGATTAGTTTTTCGTACATATCAACTGCTTACTGAACTTGAGAGTATACGGAAGGCCATAAATCAAAGGACAAAACTCCTCCCTGGCTGTGATCCACTTCTTATGAAGCTGCTTATGCTTCTTTATCTTTTAAGTCTGCCAAAGCCTTTTGATCTTTATTGTAGACAGATTTCTTGAAAGTCCTAGTGGAGTTCTGAAGAGGGCTGCTTTATTTACGGAAATGTTTCACAAAAGTTGTTTCTGTCCTTCATGTTAAGCAGAATTTACCAAGGAACTAGTTTTATTGAGTAATGCACCTTAGTTGAAACATTTTGTTAAATAATTCATCGTTTATGTTCAAGAAGAATGATGGTGCAGTTACAAGCATGTAAAAGATATTCTGATTCGCAAGTTTCTGTAAGCTAAGATACGTAACTATAAAAACAGCAAATAAAATTTGTACTTGATTTCAAATTTTAGAAGTGAAATTATCATCTTGTATTTCAAATAATGTAAATGCTGTAATAAACAGACCTTCTAATCTGTTTTCCACTTTAGGCGAGTTGCAGGTCAACTTGCGAAGCCGCGAGGTTGTGCAAGAAGGTTTGGAAGAGGAGCTGGAAAAGGCGAGAAAAGAACTGAGGGAGACCGTTAAGGAACTGAAGCAGAAAGAGGAGAAATTGCAACTGGATCTGGATAAAGGAAAGATCGAGCAAGAAAACTTACGCAAAGAAATCGACCTGCACAAGTAAGACAAATTCCTAGTCATTCATTAATGAACAACACATGGTATATGGTATTTAATACCTATTTTTGCTGGCTATCGGTTTATTAATATATCTCTGAATGATCACTTCAAAAAACACGAAGAAATTAACAACTTAGTACAAAAATTAATTAAAATCTGTATAGTATATGATTTCAGGTAACGTAAGTATAAACAGCTCTTCCTTAATGCTCGAGAAACATCGGCAGTTGACAAAATCACTTGCAGAATCAATTAACAATTCAGCTCGCAGCTAAATAACAAATAGAGCAGCAACGACAGTAACAATTCCGAGTTCTGGTTAACCATATTTATATAGACTCGGGAACAGATCTGTTGTAACACTAGCTTCTAGAAATTTCAGCAAAAATTGAATGCCAAAGATTGGAAGGAGCGGACTTTGCATTGTATTTAACTCTTTTTTTATCGGTAGAGATAAACTCTTCTTCACTCAAACATCTAAAACTACCGTATATATTTATTTATGTTGGAATGATTTCATTCCCCCATGTCAAGTAGAATGCTACGCTACCCTACTTAAGTCAAGCGACAACTTCTGTCTCGGGATCTTCATACGCTTTCACCATTGTGTGCAGTTCTACCTAATAACAGAACTACTTTTATTTGCTTGAAAAGAATGATTGGCATGTCATTAAACAACTCGCGAAATCAATGAACCATGCACTAACGTAATGGAGAAAGCACCAGGTAGAAAGTAATTCAGGAGTTCGGGCGACCTGCCGGTGTCTGAATGGTCGGGCATTTTGGGCAACTTCGATATGAAGGAGTTAAGCTATTTTTACATTCTAAAAGTTATCACTCTTAGAAAAAAAAATCAGCAATTCTATACAAAAAACAAACGTTGATGGAAAGAAAATGTTGCTAGGCTATCCCTTTTAGTTTAAAGAACCGCTGGTATTTAATGCGTAGGATTAGTAAAGTGTGAGGATGCTATAGAAGAAATAAAACAAACAAAAGATTTTAATTAGCCATATGTTTTGTTTTATTTTATTTTTTTTATTTATTGCGTTTACTCATCTAAACTGATTCTATGTAAAATGGGTCGATGATATTAGAAATAAGATACGCTATTCAAGATGTCTGCAATTATATTCCCAACAAATGCTAAATCTACAACTGAATTGTCAAGTATACTTTGTCCAATTTTTAAAACTTCTTGCGTTTGCTAACGTGCTCTTTCATCTATCTAATGATACATTTAGTACATTGATTGTAAACATTTGTCGAAGATATAAGCATTCGCGAATACTTTAAATAGCCTCTTAATTTTTGCTGTCCTATCAGGTAATTATGGTGGAAAGTAATCCTACGTTAAAAATATGTCACAGATACAAAACAAATAAATAAATAAATAACACAACAATGCAATAAAAAGGATTTAAATATTTGCATACTAGCCGAAGTACCCGAAGGCAGTTAATTTGAGAGTAATGCATCCAACAGCAGAGAGAACGATACCGTTGTAATTCTTCTCTAATAACGATACAAAAAATACGATTCCTAGTCATACCTTTTTCAATCTGATGCGATATGGAACTCACATACAAAATTTCGATAGAAAAGTAAACTAATTCTTTCTCATTACATCAACAACAATGGCACTCAGTTTGTAATGATTTTCGTCTTTCTAATCAAATTTTCGTAAAAGCTGAAGTTCCATCCAATATCTCACTTATATTCAATTTCAGTCGATTAAATGTGGCAAAAAATATATAATTAATCAGAAATCAAAAACGCGAATAAACAAACACACAAACAAACATTCTTCCTTATATATATAGATTTGGTAAAACATAAAAAGTTTTGATTAACAAGCTCTACGATTTGAAAGCGAGCAGTAGCAACCTTTTCGAAATAAACCATTTTTATCTCCAACGCGCGAGTCTCTTGCCACTCGGAATATGAGTGCGAAAATTAGCATTATCGTAGTTTTTAATTAATATATCTGCTGATTAAAGTCGTACACAGTAGAAATGGCTTCCCAGAATTTTTGGAATCGGGAATAATATATTTAAATTCTCGCAATGCTCTTTTTATTTCATTGTAAAACGTAGAAATTATTTACTAACAAACTCTAAGATTTGAAAGCGAGCAGTGGCAACGCTTCTCGAAATAAAGCAGATATTTATCTCCAGCGTGCGAGACGGTTGCCACTCGGAAAAATGAGCGTTTTTAGAGTTTTTAATTTATATCTCAGACTTTAGCTACTTTTTTTTTTTTTTTTTTTTGAAAAAGTGGACGTCTACTTATTCCAGAACCCAGAAATGAAGTGTAGAAAGTTTGGGGACGATAGGTATAGTTATAGCTATTGTGTTATTGATTGTGTGATTAGTGATTGTGTTATTAGGGAACAAACAAACACACAGACTTTCTTCTTTATATATATAGATATATGCTATAATGAGTTACAGAGTCTTCCCTTCTTTGCAAGCATAAGCTAAACTTGAGACCAAATCTGAATGTAAGAGACTTATTAGTATGTCCAGTAAATAACGAAAGATTTAGGAAGGGTGTAAAATGAACAATTTCACAGAAGGCACTTCTTGCGCTTACAAACCAGCCAATTCCCAACTAGCACAAGAACAGAGAATTCAGAGAATAGTTCAGAGAACGTTCAGTGCAAGTGCTTCACAAACGTGTCGGGAACGTTCAAAGTGCCTTCTGTATGTTACAGTTCTAAGACAGGCAATAACACGTCAAATACTTGTGTTTGTAACACTTTCATGCAACGTGTCCTTAACGTTCTAGTACAACGTTTTTGGCACGTTTTACCTGAACGTTCTGAACCACGTCTATGTATTGCAGTTCAATAACGGACAACAGTACTTCAAAAGTGGTACTACTATCACTTTTTATAACGTTCTAAGAATGTTCTTTTAACGTTCTAACAGAACGTTCCTTTAACGTTCTAGAAAAACGTTTCTTTAACGTTCAGGCAAAACGTTCTGAATTGCGTCTGGAAGATGCAGTTCATTAATGGACAATAGAATGTCAAAATGTGGTACTAGTAACCATTTTATATAACGTTCCTAGAACGTTCTATGAAAGTTTCTATAACGTGCTAGCAAAACGTTCTCTTAACGTTTGGGCAGACGTTCTGAATGTCGTCTATAGATTAAAGGTTTATAACGAGCCTAGCACTTCAAATACTTGTACTATTAACACTTCTGTATAACATGCAAAGAACGTTCCCAATCACGTTTAACTAGAATGTTTTGAGTTACGCCTAACTAGAACGTTCTGAAGCCGGTCTATATGTACAGACTCTGAAGGACAACAGTACGTCAAATATTTGTGTTTGTAATACTTTGCGTATAATGTGCCAGAAACTTAGTTTCCAAATTGTGAATTCATATAATAATTTCATTTCTTTAATGGAAGAGAACACTGCAATATTCTGGAAAATACATTATCTGTTTGAAGAGTTGAACCTGAAATGTTACATTTACAGATATATGTCATGTTCATCAAGTTCTTAGTTCATTACAGACATACCATTTATTAATGAAACTTTACACTTTTTTCTCTACATTTACATGCAGTTCCTCCAATGCAATATTATCTAGACCTTATATTTCCATGAAAGTTTTACACACAATACCTATTAACTACATATAAAAACAAGATTTGTTACAGTTCTTATGATAGAAATGTATTTTAAGCTTAATAAATTAACCAAGAAATCAAGTTATTGTTCTTACTGGAAGGAAAAGGAATCAGACTGCAAATCACGATTTTTAATATATGGCCAGAATCATTGCAATTTTCAAAATTCTGAAACCTTATTCATGTGATCATATGCACCAAACTATTTTAATGGGAGACTGTATTATATTCTGGACGAAATAATTATTTCTTATTAAATATAATCCTCGGTACTTTTTTGCAGTAAATTAAAAACAAATTGTTTTCTTTCAACACTAATAAGCTCTGATATGCCAGACTAATAACTGTACTTAAACTTTATATGAGACTACTGCTATCTAGAGTTTTTGTCATTGTAGTAGACTAAAAGCATCAGGATGATGGGAATTTAAAGTGAATGCTTGGATATTTCTTGTCATTAAAATAAATTTAAACATTTGCATTTAAATGTGTGCAAATTTTAAAAATAATGAATACTTTTCTTGTGTTCTGTTTACAAGCAGTTTAGCTGTACTAAACATTTCTCTGTAAAACTTACTTCTGTCCATGTAATTTGTTTATAAAGTTAGAAGGAGTGTTTTGAAAGTTAATAAACAAATAAAATGACATATATCTTTCACAAATTCATTATTTTGCCGTAAATTTGATTTATAAAATTAGTTCAGTGTGATTCCAGTCAATGGATAAGGTTCTTAACAAGCAATTTTCAGTAAAATATAATTATTGTCATAATTTAAAATTTGAAGCATTTATTGCAAAAGGTTTTAATTTAATTCAGCTACTAGGAATGCATTAAATTCCCAAAATCTATAAAACTGATAGTTTTATATATTTCATAAAATTTTAAAGCAAAATTAAAAGTATTAAAGGAAATGTAATGAAATTAATTTCCATATTGCATATTCATGTAATAAATTTCTCTTCTAGAATCAAACATTCAAATTCAATGAACTAATTATTTTCATATTCAGTAATACAATGTATAAGATACAATATTTGCTTAAGCTAAGTATCCTCTAGCAATCCAAGTCTTCATGAAAGTTAGGAAACAAACTGAACAATTAATAACTTTAATTACAGTATTTTCGTACAAGCTAATAATACACAAATTTTTTATTCCATTGTTTACAAACTTCCTTCTGTTGTAAATTTTCCTTTTTGTTTATGATACTTTTCTGAAAGGAAACACAGTTCAACCAGTCTTTTATAATATTTTCAATAATATTGCAAGGTACCTCTCTGGTGGCCCGATTTTCTTTGAAAGCACCTAAAAAAAAAAAAAATATTAAATTAAACAATCAAGAAATAATAAATTT